CTCTCTCTCTCTCTCTCTCTATCTATCTATCTATCTCGGACGTGCGCGCAAACGCTAATGGCGCGAGATGAGTTTTTCCCCTCATATCTTGACACCTCGCGGCACGTCATCCGTTCGTTTGGCGGCGGCGTCGTCGTATTATGTTGTTCGTGCATTGTTAAATATTAAAAACGTCACTCGGCAATGATTAATTCACTTGCCCCACCACCGCTACGGTCGTAAACACGAGTGGCGTCCCCGAAGTGTCGTTTCTGATTCGCGACCCGACAACGGGCGTGGCGCACGACCGTCACGTGTGCACGTGTGCAAAACGCTTTCGCTCGTTCGCACCTTTCAGACGTCGCGCCTGGCCCACGTGGGTCCCCGGTACCGTCGTGGTCAGCAAAACATGCGCTAACCGCGCGACGGCCATCGGTGTCCTCCGCCGCGGTCCGTGATCTCGATCTCCGGTCGCGCCCGATCGAAAATCAGAAAATACCCTCGATCCCCGGCCGGTGCCCTTGTCTCATCGTTGCGACACTGTTTCACGACGTTCGTCACGATTTTTCTTCGATCCTATCGGCCGTCCGTATTGTATCGCGCCGTCGCCGTTTAATTTTGCCGACAACAGTTCGATCGGACGCTAATACGTGCGCGTACTCCTATCCATATTTACGGTTATCGAGATTCCGTTAGATTTTCGATCGAAACGATCAGTCGTTCGAAACCGTGGGCGAAATGAATCAAACGAGTATATTGATTTAAATTTTTTAAAAACACTCGGCTACTGTGATTCGCGCTCCGGTGTACAATGACCGAGTACTTTATGAACGCACCGGTGTGCGTTCATTACGATGATTTATAATCTTAAGCATTTTCAATTTATATATTATAATATATATATATACGCGTTATACGTATCAAGGATCTACTAAACGAGTGATTTTATTTTCTGAAATTTATTATAATAACAACAATTCGACTATTAGCTTCGAGTGGTATAATCATTTATTTGACACGATGAAATATAACGTTGAATAAATTAATAAATTCTATTATATTAAATGTTGTTGAGACAAGAAATTTAATCGCTGATCGTTATAATAACTTTAATTACATTAATTAAACACTTAAATCGTGAAAAAAAAAAAAAAAAAAAAAAAAAAAAAGAAGAAGTAAATATAAAGCAGAGTCTGTAATATTAATACAAACATTTATACATTGAATAGTTCAGGTTATAGTAAATTTAATCAAACCAATGTTTTTAGATTTAAAAAAAATCTAGTTTATAGACAATTATTTATTGATATGTGTTTATCTTGACACCGATCTGCCTAATCCGGAGAGACATGTCCCATTTCCGCTAAAAATCCAGTTCCCAGATTTATGCATAGCCCTATTTTGCCAGAAACGAAAATGGTATGATTCCTGTTTCCGCCAAAATGTATTTTTGTGAAAAGGCGTCGTTTGGGAAACATATTCAATTGTTAGGTACATATTCTTTCATTATAAATTTTAATACAAATAGATAATAAGGATATATTAGTCGAATATAGGTACAATTATATTAGAGTTTTTAAAATATTACATAATTTCATATTATAATATGTCCATTCTATTTTATTATTTATAATGTATAAAATAAGTATAGGTTAAATATTGTATCGATAGAGTTTTGAAAAACATATATAGTCATTTTTAAATATTTAAAAATGTCACAAAAAATATAAATTATAATACAAGTATATGTCAAGTTTTAAAAAATCTTATAATTAAAAGAAATAGTTTTGACACTAGTGTACTTAATAATTTCATTGGAATTTTTTTTGTATTATTTTGAGCATTGTTAATTTTGATATATATATATATTTTGATAATATAATATCTAAACCATTGTTATTAACCGTTATTATCGACAATTATCAAAAATTATCGAAGATTATGAGTGTACCTACATATTACAAATATTTTTTACACATACCATAACATATATTCAATAATGCTTAAAAATTAAAACCAATGGTTTCCAAACTTTTTTTTGGCTGAAAAGGACTATGGCGGAAATGGTCAATATTATTGTTATGGGAACGGGTAACTCCTTCACGGAGAGTTAATAATTGGAAATCATGAACACTATGGATCAATCAAATTATAATAATGCATTTTAATTAGATAATCTCAGTTGATATTAGTTAATATTGCATAAATGATCGTAAAACTAAAAATATTTAAAACAATTATTTTAATTATTTGTAGAGAAGAAAAAATAAAACCGATAGTAAGATTCATAACTGCTTAAATTATGCCGAGATAAACAGTCTAAAAGTCTTTAGTGGTTAATTTATATATTATAAAGTATAGGCATGTAAGATTTTGTTATAAATATTATATAAATATAATTCTTTAATGTTATGTGCGGTGTTTTGAATATAAAAATTTAAAGCGGGAAATGATCGAAAATTAACTTTCACCATATTTTCCTCAAAATCTCAAATAAAAAAATTTAATTATATGAAATAAGGTAAAGAAAGTTTTTTCTCATTCAAATCTCCATATAATTAACAAAATATATTTAACGAAAGAAAATATATTATTATGTAAAAAGGATGACGATGGAAAAATAAAAATAAATTAATAGTTGTTCAATTATAATAATGAAACGATTGAACGTTTCAATTAGTTGATGTTTAATTGCAAACAAAATAATTTCTTTAAAACAAAATTTGCTTAGATAAAAAGAGTAAATATTTTAATTCCATAACAGAAAGTTTTTTCTTCAGTCGTATAATTATTGAATAATTTTCGACGGGATAAAATATCTTGTGTGCTGAGTATACATAATTATACTCGTACTACAAGCTAAATTATCCAGCCTTGCCTGGGAAATATTTAAATGTTCCCAATTAAAGCCATTACTACAACGTGATAAAAAAAATAAAAAAATTTCGAGTTCAAAAAATACACAGTTTTCCTATATTAAATTTATATTTGTTTTTGTATATTAAATTAATTCACATATAACTCAATCGGTGAGTTTTAAAATGAACAAGTTAAACAAAATATAATACTTTTTAGACAATCAAAAATTAAAAAAAATCTATACATCCAGTCAAGATTTTAAAAAAAAATTTGACCATTAATGATGATAGGCGGGGTTTTTAGATTTTTTCTAATGGGGTGTCCTTTGAAATAATCAAAATATTCGATTATCTGGTCCTGTTGTTTTACACACAGTGTTACGCGCATTCTCGCTTAATTTTAACAGACCCACTTGCTGTGATTAGAAAAAATAAAATCATTTTGTCAAAGAAATCAAATCGTATAATGGCACAAGTCGAGAATATTCTCAAAATAGTGTAAAAGTTTAATTTGTTTGCGGATAAACGAGAGTAATATTTATTATAAGCATACGATCTCGACTAAATATCTCTAACATTTTTTTATTTAAAATCCTCGTCCGTTCGTTCTGTCAACAATTATAATTAGGGTCTGTGGTATTAAAATGTATTAAATATGCCGCTTCCATTATTGATTGACCGGACTTCGGTTGGCCGATACGTTTTGGGCGCACGTGATAACGTAGCCGATGCGCGCGACAACCGTTTTCTGACGATGTTAGACTTCATGAGGTCAGGCGAGCTCCTCACCTTTTAATTTCACGACTAGATATCAACGCTATAACTATTAATTTTGACAGTGCCGTGAACTGGATGGTGCAAAAATATGTTCTTGCACCACCGGAAAATCATTGAAATTCGTATAACTTATTACGTTGTTTTCAAGAGCCAGGGGAACTAGTATACTAAAAAAAAAAAAAAAAAATTCGAACGTATTTTTTATTAATATTAATATAATAATAAAGGTTTTGCTGCTAAAATAATTCAAAATGTATTCGTCATTTAATGAAATACATAAGAAAAAATATAATTTATTAAGAAGGATTTTACTTAGGGAGTTGAAAAATCAGCGTGTTGGAAATTAAAAGTTATGAATATGCCTCTGCACCACCAGAATTTGGACCCAGTTTTGCCACTGAAAGTTATCATGTAACTGCATGCGTTATCGTCGTCGGCCGAATCAACGGTTTCGAGGGCACCGTACATGACTGTAACGCGCGCATAACAATAACGTACGATTGTAGAGGGATTGGTTCGAGGGTACTCGACTCGTTTACGAAACGGGCATTTTTTCACAATACCAATTATGGGCAAATCACTCATGTACCGCACAATGAAGAGTTATTATTTTCCGATACTCAGATTTTATCTAATACCTCTTCAGATTAGGCAGTGATGTGAACTTTTGTTTTTTGAAAATGTTCAGTTAACTTTTCGGGAACACATTCGAAATTCAGATCAGTACTTTCGGAGTTAATCGAATTCATTAACGAATAGGTTAGTATGTTTTTTTTTTTTTATCCGTACGGCAATATTATTATTCATAAAACGGTATAGTCCATCATTTTATTTCACTAATATTTCGAGATTGTGCCGATTCAAAGTAAATATTTTGCTTTTCACGCTATATTGTATTATATAAAAGGAAAATAACGATAAACTAATCATAAAACTTTAAATAAGAATAAATCCGAAATTACTAGTCTAAATATTGACTGCGGAAATGTACCAGTTAATATAACCGAATAATTATTTGATTAAAAAAATGTTTGAAAAACAAATGTTGATATTGCCACTGGATTATTTTTCTTGGTAAGTATACCAAGAGTTATAGAGTAGTACCAAGTGTACCGGAGAAAGTTGTATTGGTCTTGTAGTGCCCAAAGTTTTTCCATGAATCAGAATTTGAATAAATTCATGATTCAAGCATAAAAAAAGGAACGACCGTAATGAAAATAAAATAAAAATCACCCTGTGCAATGGTACATAGCCGCGCGTGCGCGTTGCAAGGGCTCGCCGCAGCGTTGATGGAGGCGGCGGCAGCGGAAAGCCCGATGATAATAATAGTAATAATAATATGATATTATAATTTATCGTTTAACATGTGTGTGCATGTGTGTGCAGGTACATTGCGGTCACGCAGCCAATAAAATACGCAAAGCACAAAAACAACCGACGAGTGTGGCTGACAATCGTGCTAGTGTGGGCTATCAGCGCGGCAATTGGCAGTCCCATCGTGCTCGGGCTGAACAACACGCCGGACCGGACGCCGGACCTCTGCCTTTTTTACAACTCGAATTTCATCATTTACTCGTCCCTCTCCTCGTTCTATATACCGTGCATCATCATGGTGTTCCTCTATTGGAACATATTCAAGGTAAGTCCACCGCAATGCCGTTCGATCGCAACTGTATTATTATTATCATAATTTATATTCATATTTTGCGTACCATACGTACATAAATAAATACATGTAACATGTCTATTGACGTGCACACGATGAAAACTATGAACCGTATAGGATGTAATAGACGTTCCGTTATAGGCCGGATTCCGACTCGTTGAGCCGGTATAACATCCATTGTACAACTCGACTAAACCAGTGGTGCTCAACCCGTGACCCGCGAAGGTATTCAATGTGGCCCATTACAACGTTTTTTTTTAATAAAACAAAATAATAAAAAAAAAAAAAAAAAAATCATCGAAGTTTTTCGAGTGCCATCGAAAACTTGATGCGTGCCAACTTTGGAATGCGTGCCACTTATTTGCCACCTCTGCCCTAATCCGTGGAACGTATCGGTCGGGCTTACGGTTTTCAGCGTGTCGGTATTCGAGGTTTGCTCGTAAAGGCTCCACCATTTAAATACTAGATGGTCATCCGCCTCCCAAAGCTTTACGCAAACAACAGCAGTTTATCCCTGAAGGGACGCCAATCGGCAACCCCGCTGCTAACTGTTGCAAAATGCACGTATGTACCTATGTCTCATACGGTGGTGTATTACGACGTGATAATGAGACCACGGGGATTTCGATGCATTTTGTACTATTTGCCAAAGCTTTCTACACGATGCTACTCATGTACTTTCTACGGGGAATGTGAAAGTTTGTTTTTCATTTCAAGGTAAATGTCTTGATCTCTTAAAAGAGTACTCAAGTAGTTTTTATTTTTTATTTTTTGACAATTTTCGAATCGTATTTTTAATTTAAAATTGTACTTTAAGATTTTTCACTCGTGTTTACCTTATCAAACTGTCGAGTAGATACTCGTATAATTTCATTGGATGATTGCAATGTCAAACCCTAACCAAAATATTGGAAAGAATATAAATATATAAAAATAAAAAGTGAAATTGAATATTTTAAGAGCAATATTCTTCAGGGATTTTTAGGGTTTAAATTTATCTGTCCCCCAGATTTAGGTACATAATATTATAATGTAATAGAATGTTGTATCTCTGTGTGATATAAGTGAACAGCCAAAAGAAATCGCATCGTTGATAAATTCAACATGTCGAGTTCACGTACAGTTTCTACACCGTATACACTTGGTTAAAAAACGTCGAACGCCTCGAAACGCCGAGTGGTGCGCAAATATTTGTCGAGCTATTAACGTTTGAAAGTTATCTGTATTGTATCATCGTGTTCAAACATATTATATACGTGTTTAATTTACTTTCCGATGGTTGAAAGTATTTAAACGCGATAACCACGTGCTGCATACGATAATAATTAACGATCGAAAACATTATGATGCGACGATTCGTATAATACGTCATACATTGTAAATGCATTCCGAACGATATACCCAAAGGACTCACAAGGACACGCCAAGACGAAGTAGTCCAGTACTGGATGAAAACGACCGATTAGAAAATATCCAAGCCGACTGCGGTGGAGAGCACGGTTTTTCGATTCGCGTAACCAATAAAATGGGCTGGCGATTGAAACCGCGCCTAATCTGCTGCCTACCTTGTTCAGAGATACGATCACGAGTACTCATCCTGCCATATATAGTTACGTTAACGCAAGTCACACGTATGACAAAATTTTATAATCGATTGATTTGTATATTTGTAAGAGTGATACGTGTAAATATTTTGAGCAAATAATTAAAAAAAAAACATATATAAGTAAATAAATGAAGATAATTGGTCCAGTGAAGAAAAAAAATTGAATGCAAATGACAATGTCTTTATTATTATTTTTTTTTTTTTCCGAAACAGCCTAATACATGTTTATTATTGCTTCTTTTTCTGTCAAAATTAGGACTTACTCGAGGATTTTCTCGGTTCATTGCACGCGATTCATCATTTAATTTTGAAAATAAAACTGTTTTGCATGGTATAAATTCAACAAGTACCAGGTCGAACAAATATACGAAAATAGATATAAATAAATACAATGTTTTTCTTTTTTTTTTAGAGACGACCTCTTTCCGGAAGTCCATTCTGGATGTGCTGTTACGAATTAGTTTTCAGTCGATTTACAACGCTTCTGCGCTATCGGTTTACGAGTCCAAGTGAAATTTACAAGAAACGCTTGCGTGCATAAATGTGTATTAACGGTGTACAGTACAAAAAAAGCCATTCTTAGGTCATCGCAGAACATATGATTCTTCTTCAAGTATCATATTCGTTGACAATCATGTTATCAATTTGATATTTATTAATGGCTGTTCTGAATAAAGATATCGCAATATTTTTCTGTGTGACGCATAACATATTTTAGATAATGCAGTTTTCGTGATTTTATTGTTTTGACTATTTCAAGTTATTATTTATTCATCTTTTCCAGTACATTGATATTCGTTATGTGATTGCACAAAATATACCAATAGCACGTCTTCTATTTAACAATATGCCCGACTCGGCTAACGGACGTAAAATGACGAGTTCAAATGTGCACCTGGAGGGGACGATGCATACTACAGAAATGATCCTGTGAAGTATGATCTTAATTTTTAATACTCTGCAGTACATATAAATATTTTTTTACAATATAACATCAGACCTTTAAAAATAAACTTAGAGAATCACATTTCAGAATGTAAACAATCTATTGTTTTTTTTTCTCATCGATTATTAAAATTACTGAATAGAAACATCTAAACATATGTGAGCGAAAAAACCGTTCGTTTCATGAATATTTTTAAGAAATTAATTATATAATATTTGGTATTCACATAGGTATTTTTTTTTTTTTTAAGGACTTTTATAATGCAATTGAAATTAAATAGCGGCGTAATTTAATCAAGGCGTATGTTAATTGTATGGAGTTACAGAAAAGGTAAACGATACATCGTAAACTATCTGATTTGTTGTAAAGCCAAGCAGTAGTCACACTCTGTTGGATCTCATCCAAGAAATATGAATAATCGTAAAATATTATTTAATCAATAACTGTGTATAAAACACGAGTAATAACAAAATATTTTTACTGAACCATAATGACCGAAACAATAGTAGTTGAATATCTGCAATGTTAACACTTTTTAGTAACACATGTCAACTTACTTGGGTAAATTTTAAAGACATTTTATGCAATCGTAGTTTTGTTGACCATTGTACATTCATACGCGATCATTGGCACATATACGGTCGCTATTTTCATCGCACGAGCGCAATAAAAAAAATATGTAAAAAATTTGTATTAAACGGAGGATGTGAAGGATTCGAACCTTGGTTATGTACACGCATTCTATGAGTTGGAGAACCTACACTTAATCCTACTTACCTATCGTATTTGTGTCATATGAATAAAATAAATGTACTTAAGTAATAAAATCGAAAATACGCAAAATGAAAATGAACTCATATTATAATAGTATGCTTTATATTTATGTATATTAAATTAATGTTTACACTTTTCAAAAACAATTGAAATCATTTACGATTTCACTAATATTGCAAAAATATACTAGTATACTCGTATTATAAAATATAAAAAAAATTATCATTGACACAATATGCACACTATTTATTATTGATATGCCTTTAATATATGATTAAAATAAATGCCAACCTAATACGAGTATTGCACCAAAAAACTCTATGTTATCTGAATTATGTTTTATGTACATTTTAAAGTTTTGTATGTTACTTTATTTTAAGTTATGAACCTGAAGAATGATGATAAAATAATAATGTACTATATAATCCAAGAGCTACCGTTTACTCATGATTTAAGTAACTATCTAAATGGTAATTATACGACCAATATTTACACTAATTCGTTAAGAACACCGTAGTTATTGCAAAAATAACTAGAGATGTTTCTTGATTTTCATAATTAATTAGGTAGGTACATATGTTTCATAACAAAAATATTTGTTTTTAGTTTTTATTATTTTATAGTATAGGCACTATATAATACTATTAATATTTAAATTATATTTAATGGTATATAAATATAAAATATCTCAGAAAATACAGAAAATGTATTAATATTTATTGTATATTCAAATCATATTGAAAATTATACAGTACTTAACAAAATGCAATATAACACATTACATTAAAAGTCACTAGTCAAATATAAAAAATTAATACAATTAAGTACACTAAAAAAAAATATATATATATTTATATATATGGTTAATAAAGTTACTTAAAATTAAGTATTATGATACATTAATGTTATATAATGTAAAGTATTAAATAATGTTAATTATAACAACACTGATGCCAACTGGCCTGTTAATCCAATAAAAAAACATTTACACTTAATATTATTCAAATTTATGGAAAATAAATCGAACGTCTGTGAAATATTAGTAATATACATACCAAATTTTTAAGGAAGATAATGATATATAAGTCAATTCTGAATATTTTAGAAATTGTTTTACAATTAACTTTGGAAGTTATCCTAAAGACTGAACAATGTGCTGCATAAGTGCAATATTATTTAACATTATATACTTGTATCTTCCATTTATAATATTTATTGATGTATTAGATAACTTTAAAATTATTTTTTTATAAAGTTTACCATTAGTTTTAAAGATAAAAATATTTTGCTTTTCTATTATTCTATTAAAGATTTTTTGTGAAGGATGTTTGACAGAAAATTGATTTATTTTTTAATACTTTGTGTAAAAACACTTTCTAAATTCTTACATCAGAAACAGCTAGTTGTCCAACGGACCATGAATTCTAACATATATTGGTAAATTTATTAGGCTATGTTATATATTATTAAATGAGGACCAAACATAGAAGAATACTTGTTGACAAATTAATTTAAAAAAATGACTGACAGATTCATTATATTAAATACATGTCTCTACACTAATTAAAATTCTGATAGCAATACTAACAATATGAAATTACAAAAGAATTTATTTTTTTAAGTTATCCTTTAAGACTATTGGATCAT